TACACTAATACATACATATTTATTATGTGGCTTGCACATAGATATTTTTATAGATATCCGCGCATATGTATGTATGCAGATATAAATACTCACGTAGTATAATATATAAATATATATATATATATATATGATTGGCTGTGGTGTATGACTTCGCACGTCGAGTCAAAATCAGCCAAAAATTGCGCTAATTGGAAAATGTCACAGAAGCTTTGGAAATATAAGAAATTTGACTATTGAACTCACACAAAAACTGCTGTTTATTTTAATAATTGGAATTATCTGCACTGATAATTTAATTATGGCACAGTGGAACGGTATTAGCATATGACAGCGATTCTCCGCGCACAAACACACATACTTAATAAATATTTATCATATTTACTATTTAACATGACAACCATGTTTAAATAAGTTTCCACAAAACATACATACATTTACATTGTATATACTGTATAGAGTAGTGCATCTACATACATATGTATGTACCGAATTGATAAATTTATGAAAATACCCTGAACCCAAAACTCGAATGCTCGCAAATAAAATATTTACTCTTAATTGTTAATAAAATATTTACGTAGATTAAATTAAATAATTGTATATTTAGAAACAATTTCTAAGCACAGTGTTGGAAAAATATTATAAATGGGTACGAATACATTTTTATCCTACCATTATTTTGTGTTTTTTTTAACACATTCAAACTTTTCGGTCTCTGAAAGAATTAGAACAGCTAATGACGTAAAAAAAACAAGAAAAAACGTTTACTTCGTTGCACCGAAGCTATAACACATTTCACAAATACAAAAAATTGCTTACATCGTTCAGTTTTTGTGGCAGCTATTGTACATATATGCTTTAGGGATCCGATCTGAAAATTTTCTTCGAAGATTACACCATTGCCATAAACAATAGCCCATGCCAAATTGCCACTTGCATGGTAGCTGTATGTTATAGTAATCTAAAAATCTGTATATGTATTGTATTATATATAGTAATATGGGCGGTTTAGAGAAACGAGCAGCTTCTTAGGAAAAAAAGGACATGTGAAAATTTTCAGATTGATATCTCAAAAACTGATAAACTGTGTTACTTCACATAACAGAAACCGTTTTCATATTCAGGGTAGAAGCATGATATAATTATATAATGTGTATATATTACTTAAGTCGTCACTAGATTGCACTAGACTTTGTTCCAACACTGTATATAGACTCTATGTACATATGTATGCCCGATATTTTTTCTGAGCAAAGAAACATATATATACTTTATTAGAGCATTTCCTTGAGTGCGTGCAGTTGCCGCCTTAATTGTGGAATTAATTACTAACGGATATTCACAATTTCATACATTCATATGTAAGTAAAATTCTGCGTGTTCAGCTTTCAATGATTACAAATTTTATATCTTCAACCTCATGCCATGATTTTATTTCAGACTTAACGTGTTAAAAAATTTTCTTTGGTTGCAAATAAACTCACATATATATAAATATGTGTATATGGGAGTATGTATATATGAGCAGACTTGCTTTTATATTTGTATGTTTGAACCCTTTAAGTTTCATTGTTTACATACGTTATCTCGGTTGGCCGCCTGCATTTAAATTGAAAGTTTGTTTTTGGCTCGTTACTGATTACGTTTGCGAACCTACAAAATAGAGAGTTAATTCTTTATCTATTTGTATCAATATAAATATTCTGGTTGTTACAGATAATTATATACAAGAATTTTATTGGCAGTCATGCGAAATTTTATACAAATAAAGCCCTTCCTTTCAATACTTTGCCAATGCCAAATATTTAGTTTGTAACACCCAGAAGGAAACATCGAAGACCCTTTAAAATAAATATATACATAAATGATCAGCATCACGAACAGAGCCGATTTAGTTTTTGAAATAAGGACTTAAACACGTCTTTATCTCCCCATGAAGCTGCTCATTTGTCGGAACCGCCGATATCTGACCACTATAGCATATATGTTACAAAGATATATATATACTGACCGATCAATTTAAGTTCTTGTAAAGGATCTTTTGTATTTGTGGAAATTATTATACTTAGCTTCGGAGCAACCAAAGTAAAATTTTTTCTAGTTTTTGTTTATTGTTGATTTTACAGTATAAACATTTCCTCGTCCATCAGCGCAATGCCATTAATAATGCAATGAGTAAAAAAAATTTGAGTTCCGCACTTTTAACTGCGTCGAATTGAATAGTAGTTGGTGCCTGTGTTCCGAAATCTTTATTCCAAGCAAAGCCATAATGTTCGTTTATGTGTAAGTGGGCTGGATTTATCCAATGACGGCGATAAAGTTTTGTGGATATCCGGTTAATATTTGGCTAATTTTTGCTTGTGATTTTATCCGGTTTTAAGAGGATCCGGTGAATTTTGCTACTTTCATATATCATTTTCCACTACTTTTATCAGTTTATCATATAAGCCGTATCCCAAAACATCTTTACGCAAAGGCCCATAGCCCATTTACATACATTCCTTATATCCGGTTAATATAACCCAATATCCGAAATTGAAAATCCATATTTTGGATCGCAGAGTGTTAGAATATAAGTCTCACGGTTTGACTTTTTTCTAAAATGTGTATAAAACCAGCTAAATTAATGTTTGAAAAAACAGACATATGAAGTATCCAGGGCATCGAGAAAGATGTAAAGTAAACAAATTTATACGGATCCTGCGTTTTAAGGGACCTGAAATTAGGTGCGGTTTTGAATACTATAGTATGTACTACTGTAAATTTTTGATTTATGAAAGGAATGTGTAAAAATTGATGAAGATTTTATTTCTTATGGCACAAACAGTCATAGACGCAAAACCGTGGACCGAATCAGCTGATACGGCCTATCTTATGAGAGCGCAATATAAATGAACAGTCACCACCGCTTCTACCGTCCACTTTAACAGACCGTACGGTAGGATTTTCGCGAAAATTGGATATTTTCCGTAGAAACGAGTGAGCTGAGAGTGAGAAAGCAATCTCTTGCAATGCAGGGTTGCCAATCTCGATATTTTATAATAATTAAAAAATGAACTTGAATATATTTGAAATATTCTTAAAATAACTCAAAATCGCTGTCGAATACCCTTATTTATAAATGGGTAAACTATTTTTAATAGTTGGATTTTAGTTTTGAGCTTTGTGAAAAATTATAACTAAGAAACTAAATGTGTGAAAAAATAGAACAATGGCAACATTGGTAAAATGAAAACAAAAGAGAACAACTGATTTCTGCGTTGCAACTACGGGCATAACTTTTGACAAATTTGGTTTGATACGGGCGGTAAATACGGAGGGGAGGAACGTCGGTGACTGTTTGTGGTATAATAATCTCGATATCAGCCGGATTAACTAAAGCTTATCAGAAGATTACTGAAAATATATTTTATGCTAGAGCTTAGGTTTGTAGGTAATGCCACAATGCCTGTAGACTTTCGTTAAGAAAAAAAGTGAACCAAAAAAAAAACTTATACAGAGAGTTCTTTTGACTTGGAAGAGGATTTTCTCTAAAAATATTTCAGCTTTTAAGCTGCAACTAAAAGAAACAATTTGATAATCTTATGTATTTTTCGTTATTTTATAAAAATTTTAACAATAAATCAATTTTGATGTTATCGATTACAAAAATTAAAATATTTTATTTTGAGCAGCCAAAAAACACTTACGTTGGCAACACTTTAAATGCAGTTATCTAGTAGGCACTGTTATATTTGTCTGGTATTATTTAAGTATCGTCAAATGTATTATTTGCTAAGCGAAATTCTTTTGTGCATTTGTAGTTTTTGAAGCAAAAATAGTGAATAAATAACATCTAAAGATTTACGGGCTCTGGTAGTCAAATATTGGCAAGAGAACAACAAAATTTTCAGAAAAAAAAAACAAAATATATATACATACATAAGTATTACTGTTCAGTATATTATTGCTAATTTCAAAAAGACTGGTGGAGTTAGAAGACTAGTGGAACGCCCAAAAAATTTGCTGGCCTCAGGCTGTAAGTAAAGTTGCTCGGAGTTTCAAGGAACACCTCAAAACATTTATTATGTTTCAGTGGGTATATCCACAGTGATAACGAATTTTGTGATTCTGTAATTTTTACCGTAAGTTCGTAAATCCAAATTTGATTTATTTGGATCTGATGTCGTCGATTTATATGGTTTAAGGAAGTATAAGCGCTAAAAGATAAAAAATTAAATTAAGCATGGAAAAAGCTGCATTGTGTTATGTGTAGTGCAATAGAAGGAAAAGGGATGCAGTGGGAGCAAACCCGCGGTAACCTTGTTTTCGCCGAAGGAATTATGTAAAGAATGGGCTAATAGGCAATATTAAAAAATAATTAGGCTCGTCAGCAGCTAAACTCAATTTAAATGGTGATCTTATTGCCTTAAAGGCAGGCTTAAAACCTGAAAACGTGCTGCCATATCCTCCCCAGAGTCCACACCTCAATCCCATTGAACACCTGTGGGCCTATATGGAAACGTATTTACGAGAGCGCAAAGTGAATAGCAAAAATTAGGTTGAGGCTGCTCTTCAGAAAATATGGCCAAATATACCTCCTGAACTTTTTGAACAAAATTTGGTCTATTCTATAAATAAAAGACTGCAACCATGATAGAGGACAAAGTATTAATTTTCCTTAAAGAGTGTTAAAATGTCAACTTATGCAAACTGTACAAGTTTTTTTTTTTTGGTCTTAGAAAATGGACTTGTTATGGATTTTTTAATTTTTTGGAGAAAAATTCAATTACATTATAAAAATTAATAAAACAGCCTTTTTTAATTTTGTATATCACATTTTACGATCCGACTACAAAAGCCAGAGATGTACTTATGTACATGTATAAGAATGTTTTAGGAGAAGATAGAACTTCAATTCAAATTGACAAAGACCGGCGCGCGTGGATAAATAAGTACTTATGAATAAATAATAAATATATATAAATATTATTAAAAACGTTTTTGTTACCAAATTGGCATGTACATACATATGCACTTTAAAAGAACATAGGTAAAATGTTAATTTGTACGAATAACAAATATGAATACAAGAACAATAGCGTCTGTTGTGCTCCCGTAAACCAAGAAAAAACAGCTACAATAACAAATGCAAATACAACTTTGTATAAATGTACATACATATGTATGTATGTATGTATTTAGATATGTATGGTTGAAAGTTTAAGAAGCAATAGTAAGTTATTAGGTTCGGCAGCCCTACCGCTACTGTATTATTGTGACGTCATAACCGTAGAGGATTTTTGCATACGGAAATCGTGGGCATTGATTTCCCATCCGTACGTACTACATATTCTAAACGTATTCAATAAATATATATGTATATGTATGAATGTGTGCGTCCATGTACGTCGTGCCAGTGTATGCGTACTTTTGCGTTTAAATATGTATGTATGTTCGCAAGCAGCGGCCGCAAAATAGCGAATACAGCAAAGATATGTTTGCCGAGAACTCGCGCCTCCTGAGGGTGGCAAGCGGCACTCAGCTCGCATTAATCGCCAAAACCATTAGCGGATCGCAGTCGATGTTTTGAACTTGTATCGAATAGATCGGCACTCCGTCTGAGAGGCATTTTTTCGCGCTCGACACGAAATAAGGAAAATATTGTAATTTCAAATGTAGAAGAAGCATAGGTGGTCGATAAGTGAAATTGTGTTTAGCAAAAGTAAATTATAACGAACTTCTGTGGCAATAAAATCCTAAATTTGTCATTTACAACAAAACAACATACATAAGTATGTGCTTGGAAGTTAAACGATATTTAGGCGTGATTCTGTAATAAAACTTTTAATTGGCTGTGGTAACAAATATTATAAAAAGTACACTCAATGATTCAAATTGATAAGTGTAAAAAGCGAAGAAATGATGTGGTTATTTCTAAAATTAATCGTTTGAAAAATAAATAAAGGTTGAGTGGTCATAACGGAAATAATGGAATTTTCTTAGATTAAGAATAATTAAATATACAGTTATAAACTCGGAAACTGAGATTCAGTTATAAATCTAAATAAATGTTATAAGGTAAGATACAAGTTAAAGGCGTACATGATCATTTCGTTGAAACAAAGTCGATGTTATCAACATTAATTACCAATTATATCCAGTCATTATTTATTGTTGTAGGCATTTAACATGTGATTAGATGGTTCTTATTTGGTATATATGGTGAGAGAGGTTCACAGATAGTGAAACCAAGCAGAGATGGACACATAATTCTAGCCAACACTTTTGGAATATATTCTTAAAAAGACGTAGACACTTCGTCAACAATGATCTACCCATTATCTTCAACAAAGTGGTGACTTGGAGCTTCATTCAGGTTTTGATCAATGTAACAACTCCAATCAAGGCTACAAAATAATAATTTTTTTTTTTGATTTTCAACTCTGTTATTTGGTTTATTAGCAGGCAATTTTGGTTTAAATTGCAATCCATTTGGGTTACGCTTAGAGTAAGAGTAAGACAAGCCATAAATTATGTACGTATTTGAGTTGTATTTTGTTTTGATGGCATGAATAGAACTATATACTTATAATTATTAACTAAATTATCAGTATCTATGAGTCCATATTTTATATTAGTTACCTGAAATGGGAATAATAGACAATTTCAACGGCATACAACTTATCGTGCAAAAAAATAAATAAAACGCATATAATTTAATTTAAAAATTAAATTTATAATTAAGAACTTAGCTTTTTTATACAGATAAGGATTTGCCATTATGTTTTAAAAATGATTTTGGGCAAGTGACCACTGCGGATGGCTCAAATAAAGTGGGCCGAGAAGCCCATTTTTTGACTAATTTTTGCAGCAATTACTAGCAATTTTATATGACATGCTGTTAATATCAAGTCGGACTTGCAAACAAGTGCAAGCAAATTGAAATGATTTAGATTCGCTGGTTCAATTATTATCTTACAAATTTCACTTCATCCACAAGCTTAACATACTACTTGTATGTTTGATGTGAAAGGACGGTTGCTTCCACACTAAGTCTTCGTGCTTAGTCCCCCATTGAAATGTTTAAAAGTAGTAATCATCTCATCATTAATCACTTCTAATGATGCTAAATAAGCCAAGAGATGATATCAGCTTGGTGGAGTTTATTTTAGTTAAAAGTCGTTTCACTGCGATAGAAGCATTCCAGGTTAATATTTTATTGCTAGGGGAGACTTCGTCTGTATCGTGGGTCTGACAAGGAATCTACAATTTGGTTTACAGTTTTTAAATATTATTTTACTCTCTTATGTAATGCACGGATTCAAATCTTGAGCAGATCGCTCTTGTGTAGTCGCGGGAAGTGGGAAGACTTCTTCAAGTCTTCTATAGGTATAGCCCTCCTAAAGCGGCTATACACATTTCTTATAATTTAATTGCTTTGCCACTGTCGCTATAAATAAGTGCAAAAAAAATGTCAAGTTAAACAGAATGTAATTTCAAATTTCAAAATATGCCATTGTTTTAAGCGATTTCTACTAATAATGAGCTTCATTTATGACTACAATTGTACTAACGGGTTTTGTTTGTAATTTGTTTTCACAAAAAACAGTAAGTTAAAAGTGTTGAACACCAACTGTTTCTAAGCATAATCGCTTTCACGGCATTAGTTTTAAAAGTCATGTAAATTTTTTATTCGTCCATTTAACAACTTTGCTCACTTCTATTTAATTTTTTCTATAAGTTTACATAGAACAATTTGTATCCGTTCACAAATGTATTTATAAAAGAAAATTTTCATTAAAGACAATAATTCCATTTGTATCACTTGTCAAAATAATTGAACACTAGAAATTTATAGATACAAACCCACTTGCTCGTATATATGTATATATATGCAAGTACAGTATATAATTCGATTGCGAACTAGCAAATATTTGAATAAACTTATCATGCTAACAATATTAATACACGATATAACTCTCTTGATGAACATAAATAAACAAGAAATTGATTTTAATCGATCAGTTTTTATGACAGCTATATGATATAGTAATCCGATCTCGATTGTGAAGATATCTTGTCAAATTAAAAAGTTTTCCATACAAGAACTTGATATTGATCGTTCAGTTTGCATGGCAGCTATGTATATGCTATAATTGTGCGACATCGCTTCTTGGAGAGAAAAGGATGTGAGCAAAATTTCAGATTCATATCTCAAAAACAGAGGTTTACGTAAATACAGGTCGGCTCTGCTGTATATATTTTAAAGGTTCTGCGTGTTACAGACTTCATGGTAAACTTGATATACCATGATCAGTGAATAATAAACAAGTGTCCTTTTAGTTTCATTGTGATGATGAGCCTAATATTTCACATGTCTGCTATAAAATCAAAAAACTTAGAAACAGATATTATATATTACGTTGGCAGATACATACAAGTACATATGTATGTGCAGTTCAAATCAAGCAAAGGTGTGGGAAGAATTATTTTGAGTATACATAGAATGTGCGAAGATGCCTTTTCACGCTTTTTAGCACAAACCCGGATTGTATTTACGAAAATATGCTGAATTAATTGTATTAAGATATCTCACATATTGACAAATATATACGGTACATAGTCAACTATAAAAATCAAGATCATTATGTACAGATGAAGCTAAAAACAGCTTTATAATATAAAGTATCAAATTTGTAGTATCAAACCACACTATACTAAGCAATAAATACTCACCTAATCCTCCATTTGGGTGTTAAATTACGTTTATTACGTTTTATAAATCTTCTTCAAATAACTAAATTTTCCCATAAACTCAATAATTATGGCATTTTGTGTTTTATTCTTATGTTTTCCCCTATAGAAATTAATCGTAACAATAATATAAATTAATTTCTTAACTTCCATTTCAAATTTGTCAGCGACTATCCTCTTGCTTTGTTTCTGATAACAAATCCGATAAAATTGATTTCCGTGACACCCAAAACCGATACAATTTCTGTTTTGAAAGTCATCCAATAATATCTGAATTCATCACACCTACTACATTTTTTATCGGTTTCAATTCTGATTCCGACAACTATCATATTCTACGACACCCCTGATTATAAACAAAATTGTATTCAATGATAAATGACACTGAGATTGGAAGGAGTAGATTCTTTTACTAGTATTTACATTTGGTCCATTGAAATACACACCATTTATTCAAAAATAGTATTTTTTCTGAAAGAAGATAATTTTGTTGATTTTACCTTAATACTTGCATATTTGGTATCTATATTTTTATTTTTGCTTAAATATCTATAAAAAGATTTTTACTTCTTTCAATGCAAAATGTAAGTAATAATTCATGTTCCACCTATAACATACCAATTATCTGAGACAGCTTTTCCTGAACAATTTTATAGTTCCCCCTGCGATTTGTTGGTAACCATAGCGAAGCATATGTACGTCTACAGAAAACTGCATGCGTTTTATTTGATATTGATAATTGAATGAATTAAAAAATTATAATGGATTTTGCTCAATTCAGGTCTTGGATTCTGCTACTCTGACAATGACACCTAATATTAGCGTTTCCTTAATATAACTATAAGACCTTAAAAATATAGTATCTAAAGTGCAATTGGTTCTTAATTTTCTTTTATGAATGATTTCTTCAACGAGCTTTATAAATTTGTAGTTATACGTTGTTATCACATTCAAAAGCACGATTTATCATTGTTATATATGTATACATATATATTATGTTAAAAATATTACAATGATACCGAAGAGTGTTTCTACTAAATTAAATTGATACTTTTTGTTTATATCAAAACTCATCTTTTGAAATAATACGAGATAGCAAAACTTGAAATTTTGACAAAATTTTAATTCTCCTTATTTGAATGGAAATTTATCCGCGATCATAAAAAAAAAACAAGTAAGGAAGGGCTAAGTGCGGATGTAACCGAACATTTTATACTCTCGCAAAGTCAAATGGTATACTCGTTTGAGATTTCTTTGTGGATTGACTGATATTTTCGGTAGAAGGTCAACTATAGGCACTGGGGTCCACATATTTAGTACTTAGGGGTTTGAACAGTTTTGGTTCGATTTAGACAAGTTCTGGGCGCAAGGTGGCATATTTTAATTGCATTATTCACGCAAAGTTTTACCCCGATATAATCATTGTTACCTGATTTGCATAGTGGAAAGTGAAAGAATCAGATGGAATTGAAAATGGTGTTACATGGGAAGTAAGCGTGGTTGTAGTCCGATTTCGCCCATTTTCGCACTATGACATAGAAACATGAAAAGAACGTTATGCACCGAATTTGGTTGAAATCGGTTGAGCAGATCTCAAGATATGGGTTTTCACCTAAAAGTGGGCTGTGCCACGCCCACTGACTAATTTTGAACGCGGTTCCTATAAAGCCAATTTATACCATCTCAGAGATAAAATTTAATGTCTCTGGCGTGTTTAGTGCTTGATTTATCGCACTTTTAGTAGTTTTTAACAGTACCGTTATATGGGGAGTGGGTGGAGTTGCCACCCGATTTCAACTATTTTCACACCATCAATAGAAGTGCTAAAAACATTTGCTTCCAGTGAATTTTGTTATTATAGCATTAGCGGTTTAGGAGATATGCACATTAAACCTATTAGAGGCGGGACCACGCCCACTTTTTAAAAAGCAGTTTTAACTGCAGATGCCCCTCCCTAATGTGATCCTGTGTACCAAATAACAGTCTTGTATCTTATTGCGGAGCTTAGTTATGGCAAGTTATTTGTTTTTGATTAATGGCGTTTTGTGGGCGTGGCAGTGGTCCGATTACGCCCATCTGCTATACCAAACGTCTCATGGTACCAAGAAACATGTCTACCAAGTTTCATAAAGATATCTCAATTTTTACTCAAGTTAGAGCTTGCACGGACGGACGGACAGACAGTCACCCGGATTTCAACTCGTCTCTTCATCCTGATCATTTATATATATATAACCCTATATCTAACTCGATTAGTTTTAGGTGAACAAAACTATTATACTCTGTAGCAACAGGTTGCGAGAGTATAACAATATTTTCGTACT